CCCCCACCCCCCCAGTGCTAGGATTAAAGGCAGGCACCACCAAACCTATCATGGATTAAAAAAAAAATAGTAGAAGACTCTTAAAGCAAAGCCTGTTTCTAAGTGGTGGCTCCCCATTGCATGGCCAAGAAACACTGGTGGGGTCTTGAAAGCTTGGTTGTCCTGTTACCATTGGCTGTAGATGGTCTTCAGACCTGGCTTGTGGAGACCCTATTGCTTTCTTCCTGTGCTGTCTGTGGTCTTTGTCTAACTTCTTTTCGATAGTGTCAGACCGCAGCACACTTAAAGTAAGGACTGACTAGCAGTGACCTCAGTATGCCACCTGACAGGACTCGGTGTCTGCCTTGTTCCTTATCGCTGAATAGTAAAATCAGATTTTTTTTTTTTTTAAATGTCTAGAAACACTGCGACAGACAGAAGGCAAACCTACGAATCCGCTTCCGACCCTCCCTCTTCCAGCACGTGGGACTACACTCGTCTCTGTCGGGGAAAATTCAGAAACTCACGGTTGGTGATCTGACGTAGTTTTTCCTAGCCATACAGGCTGCTGGGTAGTGTGCAGACGAGCCACACGTTATATCATGGCCCGCTCGTGTCCTCCTAGGATAAAGATTACATGAAACCATTGCTTCTCAAGATCCATGTGAACCCGCCTGCAGAGGTCTCCACCTCCCTGAAGGTGTACCAAGGACACACGCTGGAGAAGACCTACATGGGGGAAGACTTCTTCTGGGCCATCACCCCCACGGCTGGAGACTACATCTTGTTTAAATTTGACAAACCGGTCAATGTGGAGAGGTCAGTGACCATGGGGTGCATTTTCCCTCGAATACAGACCTGCTTGTAACATGCTGATACCATGTGCTCTGTGCACAGTAGATGGAGGAGATTAGCAGGTGGCAGACCGTTTGGTTGTAAGTTAATTTCACACCTCGGAGTACCAGAAACGCATGTCTCTTTTTCCACATGCCATCTATTCTATGTTCTGAATACATTTTGTAAAGTACTACATTTATTTGTGTGTGGAGGCCAGAGAACGTGGGAACGGGTTCTGCTACCTTGTGAGTGCTGAGGATTGAACTTTGCCCTTCAGGCTTGGTACCAAGTGTCTATCTGCTGAGCCAACTTGCTGGCCTTTTATTTAGTAGATTCTGTTATTTCTGGACCTGAACTTAATCTGTAATTTTTGTTACTCTCTTCCTGAAATCTCATAATTTTCACGTCTCTTTCTTAGACTATCAGGTTATTAGACTGGCAGTTGGTTAAACTGGTTCCTGGTCAGCACTTCTGCTGGTGCAGGTCATTTTTAGAACCCCATGGGTGTTTGCAACCCTTTTAGGTTTTGTGGGACTCACATCCATTTTATAAAGTTTGGGACTATTCTGTTATTCTGTTTTTTTAAATTTGGTATCCACAGTCCCTTCAGCTTTCCCGTTCACTAGAGCATCAGCGGCAGACTTACTGTACTGCAGTGCCCGTCCAGACGTGTGCATAGGATTGCCCGCTGATGTTGTATGCTGTACTTGTCAGCTACCTCTCGGACACAGCCTGTCAGCGGGGCTGGAATTTTGGTGCAAATTGCTACTTTTATTCTATGTCTGCACATGGAGGCCAGAGATGAGCCTTGGGCATCTTCTTGCTCCACCTTTTTTTTTTTTTGTTTGTTTTTTTAAGGCAGGATCTCCCGAGTTTTCCTAGAACTCACTTATGTAACTAAGCTGTTTTTTTCCCCCCAAGAGTTCTGGGGATTGAACTCAGGTCTCTGAACTTGCATAACAAAGATTTTTACCAATTGAGCCATCTTGGAAGTCCCAATTTTCAATTTTGCCAGATGCACTTTCTTGGTCAGTTGATGTGATTCTGTGTTTTTTCTTTAGTTGGTTAGTATGATGGCTAACATTGATTTTTGACTATCAGACTGGACACACAGCTCTAGACCACACTCTGCATTAATGGTGTATATTTGTTTGTTTGTTTGTTTGTTTATTGAGGCAAGGTCTTACTGTATAACTATATAGTTCTGGCTAGCCTGGAATTCACAATGTAGACCAGGCTGGTCTCCATCTCACAAAAGTCTGTCTCCGCTGGGGGTTGGGATTAAAGGCATGTCCCACTCCACCTGGCTACTGTGAGGCATGCTTTGAATGTTCTAGCTGGGGGCTGAACCCAGGCCTTTGCACATGTTAGCCGTGTGCTTTACCATTGCTCCAAATCCATAACCCTGAAGGTAGGCTTTGGACATGCCATGGTGCATGACTGTTCTCCTGAAAACTCTGTGACTCAAGGCACTGCACGGTGATGAAGAGGATGTGTTGGAAACAGTCAGCCTGTGGTCAGTTCTGTGTCTGCTGAGTGTTAAGCAGCAAGCGTGATGGCTTTTGATGGGGCTAACAGGCAGCCTGGGGCTGCATCCTTCAGTCTTGGTTCCTGTAGTGCTTTTGAGTTAGCTGGGTAGGGTTGCAGGTTCTGGTATGGTCAGCCTGTACCTTCAGAAACCTTCCAAGAGCTCCCTCTGGGGTGAGGCTGTGCTCTTGGGTCTTTTAACACTCGGGTCTGACTCTGGTGTTCATTCTTTGGTGTGTATTTTCAGTTATTTGTTCCACAGCGGCAATCAAGAGCACCCAGGAGATATCCTGCTGAACACAACCGTGGATGTTCTGCCTCTTAAGGTATGGCTGCTGCTGCTTCTGAGGGTCTAGTTCCATTTCTGTTGCTGGGATAAAATGTGCTGACACAAAGCAATTTAAGAGAAAGAGGCTTATGTTATCTGACATTTCCAGTTTCTAGTTATTATTGTGGGAAAGTCAAGGCAGGAATTTCAAATATCAAGTTACAACATATCCATGCTCACGAGCAGAAAGAAATGAACACATTCGTGCTTGTATTCCGCTCAGTTTCTTCACTCTTACATGGTTCAAAACTGTGTAAGGGCGTAGGGAATGGTTCTGTCCCCGGTGGGCTGGGTCTTCCTAGGATAACTTCCTACAGATATGCTCACAAGCCAACCCAGTATAAAGAGCCCCTCATTGAGGCTTTCTTCCCAGGTGACCTCTAGTTGTGGCAGTTAAAGCCAGTTGTCACAATGGTTACTTAGAGGTTGTTCTTATTAGATGAACAAAATCTCTCATGTGGAATAGGACTTTAATGGTGGGTAGCAATATTAAGTTTTTAAAGTGTTGAGTATCTGCTATTAATGCACCCATTTATTTTATCCATAGTCTTCATTTTGCTTCCTACTGGAAAATGATGTGGTTGTTTGTATTAGGAAATGGGTTCATATTTTAGCACAGGGTTTACTGTGTCTTTTGAGTCCCGTGATGCCAAGTGCACATTGGGTGTCTGATGAGGGATGTGCAGTTAATTCACTGCTCTGTAAGAAACCCTTAGATCTTCTCAACAGTCTTTTACTTTCTTCCAGAGTTCTTCACTGAGATGCCATTTTTCTTCATTGCTGTGTCACAAATGCAGCTCTCACAGAGTTAGATTTGACTTAAGCAGGCTTAATTGCTTATACAATTGTTGCCTTTGTTTTATTTTAGAGCGACAGTTTGGAAATCAGCAAAGAAACCAAAGACAAACGATTAGAAGATGGCTATTTCAGAATAGGTAATGTCTGTTTAGTAACATGGCCCTTATTGCCTGAGCTGCCCTACAGTCACCTTGAATGCTTGTCAAATGCTTGACAGTTACATCAGCGGCATGCCCAGCTGTCACGTTCCGTTCCCTTGACCAGAGAGGGTTTCTGATCTTGACAGGGTTTTGGATCTCGGGGGGGGGGGGCGATTCCCTGTCTGGTTAGCTTTCTCTGTCACCTGTGTCATGGCTGTATCTGACATGGGGTTTTCCTTTGGTCCCTCTTCCTGTCCATCTCTTTCTGGATGGTCTTCACTGTCTTCTCATGTCCTTAGCTAGCGTCAACATGACAGTCTGCCTGGAGTTCTGACCCTCCCTCGGGGTGTGCGGTCTTTGTTGGGGTACCTAGAGAGCCTTGGAGGGTCTTAGGGATGGTAAATGGAATCAGGGTTCAGCTAACTGTTTAATGGGGAAAGCCAGGGAGAGAGATGGGTCCTGAATAACCTGTAGGGGGCTAGAATTGAACTGAGTTTCTAAGCCAAAAAGCATGGCTGCAGCTAGCCTGCAGGCAGTTATTGCGCCCCCTGCTGGGCGAATTTGGGGGTAGGTATGGAAAGTGCCATGGTCATTAGAAAAGAAACAGTAGATTTGTTTCAGTGGGATAAAGTTATGAGAAGACAGAAGAAAGAACCTTTGGTAGAGAGACAGAGACCCTGGGAAAGCACCGCTGGCCCATGTGTGGAAGGAGAGCCACAGGACCTCTGAAGTCCCTTCTGGTGCCCACAGTCTGGGATTTTTAATTGTTACCAAATGCAGTGGGCTCACCTCTTGTTGAGTGCAACCCTGAGACTGAAGAGAATGGAGACAGATCTATGACCCGCAGCAAGCAAGGTGACAGTCATGGGCTTCCCAAAACAGTGCTCTCTTATAATAAAGGAAGTGTGTTGGGGATTCTGTTTAGTGAGCCAGCATATATCCTGATATGGATTGTCTTCATGAGTATGCGCAGTTTAGGACTATACTCTGAGCATGCTCAGTTTAGGGTAATGGCACATATGCTCATAAGGTTAACACGATGGGCAGGGATGCCTTTGGTTTGCTCAGCTTGCCTCTTAAACTTTAGCAGAATTCCCTTGAAGGTACTGCCTTGTATGCGACTAGTAGCCACTCTGCCATTTGCCTCTCCTGTTGTCTCCTCCTATCATTTAATACTTACCTATTGGGCTAAATTCTGTGGGAGAAGAAGGAAGGAAGGAAGGAAGGAAGGAAGGAAGGAAGGAAGGAAGGAA